GCAACACTGACTTCTGGGCTAACCCCTATTAAATCAATTGTTTGGAGGGTTCGCATAGCATTGAAAGTTCTTCTATTATATAGATCATCAGTTAACTTTCCTAATTGCATGCAACGGTCTCTGACACTTGGGGCACCCAAAACTTCAACATCAAGACATGCCTTGAAAAAAAAACAAAAAAAAACATCTCATCTGCATTATTTGTACTGATATTACAAAATAGTGCATATAGCATACTTAAATAATGATTAAACTAAACATCAAAATAGATGATAGCATAGATCCTTTAACTTGTCGAGAGAAGTAGACAGACAACAAACTGCTAATTTCAGAGACACACAGAGTAAAATAACAGTCAATCAGGCAAACAATTCCAGGTTCTACAACTATTGGATGATTGGGCTAAACAAACAAATTAACCAGCAAATATATAGAAGGATTGGTTCATTTGCTGTGGACCTCAGATGCTCCAAAAAACACATATATATGCAAGGCTTCTGGGCAAAAAAAGAATGGCACAAACTATCTAATTTCACTCATGCATATTTAAGTGTGACCAAACAAAACAAACTAGACTAACAGTCGAATTCCTGCCAAAAAAATCAGATAATTTGCTCAGCCTACTGATCACAATTGCAAAAGTTGAGAATCAAAAGGAAAAAAAAGACCAATTGAAGACTTTCACCAATTTCATAATCAAGCAAAAACCAACTTACATGGGGCTAGATTGACAAAAATTAGACTCCTGTGTCACCAAATAAGCAAACGCCACGCTTTTCCAACATTCACATAACAAAAAAAGATCACCAACACACAAGCTCAATGTTCAAAGAAGTGGCATTCAGATAGCATTAAGGGATCAGGTATCAGATAACTCTCGCATGTGACATTCATCCATCTGTAACTGGAATTAAAACACACAGACATATCGGACACCAAAAAAAAAAAAGGAGTGAACTATCTCTAAGCAGTACTACTCTTTACTAACAAAACAACAAATGCAATCATAGAAAACAAAAAAATTTAAAAAAACACATCTGATCTGTATATTATGGATTAAAAAATAAAAAACATGAAAAAAATTACCTTGGGAGCATTTAACAACTGATTGGCACGAGATTCAAATTTAGCTTTCTTGTTCATAATAGGAACATTCCCTGCAAAAAAATGAAAAAATGAAAAAAAAATCAATACAAAACAAAAACAAAAAAATAAATAAAAAGACACAGAAAGCAAACTCACTAGATTGAGAATTGCCGTGAGCCATCACTAAAGGAGTGTCCAGGACCAAAATGGGATTCTTCATTGAATTGCCATCACCAGATTTAATTGCTTCTCTGGATTCACTTGCATTCTGCAAAAAAAAAAGGTTCAACAAGAAAAAAGAAAAATTAACTCAACAAAACATTTGAACAAAAAAAAACCTACAAGCGAGGATTCATATTATATGGATTAGTGGAATCCACATTTTGTTTGTTTCCTATAGGGTTGCTGGCTTTGAAATTTTCTTCAACAATGCGTCTATTGGACTGCTCGTTGATATTTGAACTGTGCCGATTATCTACGTTGTTAAAAGCAGACTCTAAAATATCATACAAAACTACAAAAAGTAATGTGATCGGCAAAAGATTCAAACCAAAAAAGAAAATGAATACCTCTCACAACTGATGGAACAGACTTATTAATATCATTGACTCTATTGTTTTGAGGAAACCGGGGGACAACGTTTTCTCTTTTACCTCATTGGCGTTCTGTGCAGCATCTAAGAGAATCTGAAGAACGCTGAGAATTAGACTCTCAGTGGGCAACAAACAGAAATTGCACTTCCCATATGAATTCTCCTGAACAAGCTTGCATAACTCATCAACCACCTAAAGGAAGAAAGAAAAACAATGAAAATGAAGTGAAAATAAACAAGCAACATAAAAAGAAAAAGCATATAGACAAAATAAATTACATTTTTAGGCAAAAAATCACCAAAATACATAGTAAGCTTCTCCCTGAATCCCATTGATTCACCATTAGCCTATATTATGCAAAAAAAGAATACATTAAACAACATAGATTAAAAAAACTAACTCAAAAAACAAACCTTATCTTGATCATTACAAACTCCATTAACTTCTCGGGGGACTCCGTTGGCCTCATTCATTTTCTAAAAGAATGTAGAAAAAACAACTGTTGCACATGCCAAAAAATGGAAAACAGAAAAACAAGGGGGTGCAGAAAAAAATACCTTGGATTTGCAAAAAACAAGAAATTCCTCCAACAAATTGATATTTGCAGTAGAAATGAATGACTAAAAACAAAACAAAAAAATAAGAACAAAATATTTATCACTCATACAACTAGTACAACACACACAGGTTCAAAACCTTTGTGACCTTGCGCTGCTAGAGTACTTTCCTCAACTACACGGAAACAATTGCTCCTATCAGCCATCGGTACCTGAAAAAATTAGAACAAAAAAAATTAACCTGCCGAGTCAAAGGACTAATTGAAATGCTGGCCACATAAAAAAAAAGATTGGAAAAATCTGCACTGATGAAAAAATAGGTGCCTAACAATGAAGTCCAATTTTACCAAAAAAACACAAATCCTGAATTGAAAAAAACACATATATGGGATTACCCTAATTAGATAAAAAAAACATACCAAAACACCACAAAAAAATCATATACTTTATACAATCTGAAAAGCTCAAACACTTAATCAGGCTCTTCTTCCCTCTCCAATACAAACTGAAACTAATTATGAACATTTAACCTACATATAAAACACTAAAAATGAAAAGAAACTGCAGATCATCTAATGGAAATAAAACAAAAAAAACGAATTAGCATACATAAATAAAAACTGCAAAATCAGGCAAACAGGTAACTGGTGTTTAGGTAACTGCAATTAAACTAAATCAAACACATACCAATAAACTAACCCATACAATTTCAGGCATCAGGTAGCATTTGAAAGTATAAAAAACGCTGAAAATGAAACTGAAAACTAAAAATGGAATGACAACAGAGTCTTGCCTTTGTGTTAGTGGTTGGGGTGCATGCTGAGACGAATCGAATTGTTTCGTTGCAATCGTCACCAACCATAACCAAATGACAATAAAATAGACTACGAGAGCAGAGCAGGTAGGCAAAATATTATGAGGTAGGTAATAACAGACTAGCAGAGCAGAGCAGGTGGGCGAAATACTAGCAGCAAGCAAGCAAATCTAGCTAGGTCCTTACTCCTACCAACCGAGGCAAGTAAGGCAAAAACGATGGATGGATCATAGATCAAATACTAGCTAGTACTCACAAAAATACTGCACTTCAAAATCAAACAAAATGAACATGGTGTCCTGCATCGAACACCCCAAAAACACAAGGAGAATACCAAAAACTCCTAAAACTCAACACAGAATGGGATTCTCAGATCCAACATCGAACTAAACTGAATCCCCCGCAGCAACCACTATGGGAGAAACCCTAAACGACGAAAATGAAACACAACTGCCATTGAGACTCGAATCTGAACAAGAGTAACACAAATACACACCAAATCTGCGATACCTGTCGCCTAAACGCATTACACAGAACCACACATACAGCCTAGAACCTGAACATGAGTAAACTAAACTCCACCCCCAGATCTGCGTAGAAAAAAAAAACAACATCGACGGGGTGTCGAACGCCCAATCTAAGCAAACACAGATTCCACACATCGCCGGAACACAATGAATAACACAGAAAAAGGGCGCGCAAATGAGATAACTTAGCTCGACAAAGAAGTGGAGCTGCAAGTCGCCACGACGCCGGAGAATGAGTCGACCACAACCGGGGGCCGCCGAGTCGCCGCGACGGGGGAGCGGCGAGTCGCCCCGACTCGTCTCGAAGAAGACGAAGCGAAATGAAATGGGGAAAGGGGGAAATGGAAGCCAAAACTTCGGGCGTGACTCCCGAAAAATCAAAACAGTAACGCACTCAGCTAGGCCCCACATGTCACAGAAACAAACCCATCAGCACACGACAAAGAGCAGATCGAACGCTGCAGAACAAAAAAACATCATAGATCGAACGGCCAAAAAAACAGTTACTCAGCAACAACAAAACAACCGGGCACTGTTTAGCATTTCTGTATATATAATATATATATGACTATACTTCATGACATATTGACATGAGTGTTTTTGTTTGGAAATAATGGGAGGAAGTGTTCCTCTGTTTGTGAGAAGAACGCTTACTTATGTTCTATTGTTGTGAGGAATAAAGCTATGGTTTGACTTAGGACAAAACGAATATCTCATTGGGGATTAGAATTTACAACCTCAGATTTAAGGATCGCTCACTGATAACCTGGACGATCTAGCAATGGACACAGTTTTCCCAAATTTTGACACTGATTTCTTAGCTGAAAATTACTAGTATATGCTCGCAGAATTCCAAATCCAAGTAAAAGGCGGTTCCAGCTTAGCAGCACACCCAAATTCTGAAATGTGAAACTGAATCAGAATCACTAACGATTTGGCCAACTTCGCCTCACAACTAATCTCTGACAAGTTTTTGCATTTGTAAGAATGAACGACTTCGGAATTCCAGGGGTCAAAGTTTATTTGTATCGTTGTAAGCATGATGAAAATCATTATGACTTCATGAACCTTTTGGTCAATTCTGACGACCCCCCAGAACCAGAAATTTTCACATCGAATTTGCTACAAACAGTACTGAGCGACAAACAGTACTAAAAAAACTTCTGGAACATTAGCTTGGTTACAGGACTGCACTGCACTATCAGAAACATTGCATCTGAGCGACAAACAGTACGAAAATGTGACATTACGTCAGCCACAATATAAACCAACTAAAGCAGTAGCTCGTCAGCTACTGAAGAATCAATCACACAGTCCACCATCCATCACAACTAGTAATTGCTAACGAGTAACAGCACCCCATGAAGCAAGCACACCTTCATGTGGGCGATACAATCCAGACATTGAACACATGCTAACACTACTACGGGAAGCTAAATCCGCCGCCACCGATGAGCTCCCTGGCGCCCGCAGGAGGGCTGATGTAGACCCAGAGCAGCGAGATGGTCATGCAGATGAGCCCGGACCAGACGAACACGATGGTCGGCACACGGCCACGGCGGCCCAGAAGGCCCTTGGCGAACGGGTAGAGGTGGCACAGCACCCAGAAGCTGAAGAAGGCGCCGCCCAGCAGCTTGCTCCACTGCGGGAACTCGCTGTACAGCGTGCGCGCCGACGCCACGGCCACGGCCACCGCGTTCACCATCATGATCGTCACGGGCGGCACCATCAGGAAGCTCCACCGCACCTCGTACAGCTCCGCGAACGCGTCCTCCTCGCCGTCGTCGCCGGCGCCGCCGGGCTTCGACGTCAGCGTGAAGGAGATGTCCACGCCGGCGATAACCTTGAGGAGGCCCTGCAGCACGGCGGCCGGGTGCGCGCTGGTCCCTCCGATCACCCAGAACTGCTCGTTCCGCCACCACTCGTTAAGCGTGACCCCGGACCACTTGATCTCCAGCAGCGCCAGCAGGCAGAGCGTGATGGTGATGATGAGCAGCAGCGCCAGGAACGTGGCGTTGAGCGACTGCACGATGAACTTGCCGGAGAAGAGGGACACGGCCGGGAGCACGCAGTAGACGAGGAGGAAGACGGAGGTGAACGGGTACATGCCCACGTTGAAGTAGGCCACGCGCTGGAGGAACTTCATCCGCGGGGACGCGAACAGGGCGTTGTTGCGGGAGAAGAAGATCTCCACGGACCCCGTCGCCCACCGGAGCACCTGGTGGAGGCGGTCGGTGAGGTTGATGGGCGCCGTGCCGCGGAACGCGTCGCGCCGCGTCAAGCAGTACACGGACCGCCACCCGCGGTTGTGCATCCGGTACCCCGTCACCACGTCCTCCGTCACCGACCCGTAGATCCACCCGATGCGCCGCCCCCACTCCGTCTTGTCCTCGTAGAAGCACGAGATGACGCTGATGGCCTCGGCGACGGTGGCCGCGTCGAGCGGCTCGCGAGGCACGGCCAGGGCGCCGGCGGGGCGGCCCTGGTGCGCGCCAGGCGTGTCCTGCAGGAGCCGACCCTGGTACTCCGCCACGGGGATGGACGCCACGAATGTTGCCGAGCTGCCGAACCGCCGCGGGAGCAGCGCGGACGACTCGATGTCGTCGAGCTGCTGGAAGGCGTCGTCCTCGATCGGCGGCAGCATCATCTCCCTGTCGTTGTTGTTCTCCCTGTCCGTCTTTTTTCCCATGGTGGGCTTCCTCAGGAACAGCTTGATCTTCTTCCTCCCGAGCCAGCCGTGGTGCTCCGTGGCGCGCGGCGGGCTGAACCCGTACAGCGCGGTGCGGCGGAAGACGCAGCCGGTGCCGACGTACATGGGGCCCTGCAGCCCGTCCATGGCGCGCATGGCCACGTCGAAGAAGACGAGGTTGTGGTTGGCGTACCGGTCGTTGGGGTCGATGCCCTCGAACCGCTGCGGGAACTGGACGTAGCAGACGCGGTCGCCGCCGCGGTCGAGCATGAAGCACATCCCCTCGCGGAGCGCCGCCGAGTTGTGCACGTAGTGGTCGCAGTCCAGGTTGAGGATGAAGGGCCCGTTCGACATGATGGCGCTCGTGCGCACCAGCGCGTTCATGGCGCCGGCCTTCTTGTTGTGGTCGTACCCGGGGCGCTTCTCACGGGACACGTACACCAGCATCGGCAGCCGGATGTCCACGCCCGTCGTGTCGATCAGTCCGCCGGACTCCGCCGGCTCCGCGCCCAGCACAGGCTCTGACGTCGGAGGCGCAAGCATTGCCTGCAACTCAATTTCAGGCACACATCAGCATCTCGAATGAACAACTGAACAAATTTGTAAATTTTTCTATCAATCGAGCAATCAATCACCTGAATGATGCCGGCATGGTCACCACGGGAGTGGTCTGGCGCAGAGGTGAGCCAGGTGCCAGGCCACTGCGACCCGTCAGACATCCATGTCGCCTTCACGGCCGCCGCTGCCTCAGGCAATGCTCCGGAAAGGGTGCCGGCCGCCATGGCCTCCTCCTGCTGCCTTCTCCTGGCGCGCAGCTCCTCGCCGGCGTTGTACGCGTCGGAGCGCCGGCGGATGGCCTCTGGCAGCGAGTTCACCCTCACCTTGAACTCGTCGTACTCCGCTTCACCTTCCGCCGCTCCCGGACGAAATCCACACGCACCTTGTTCCTGAGGAAGTCCCTCTTCTGGCCGAAGTAGGCCTCCGGGCTGCGCGGCTCGACGCCGTGCTTGCGGCAGAACGGCACCCAGGTGCGAGCGAAGCTTGCGGTCTCGGCGAGCGCCTCAAAGGTGAGCAGCGCGCCGCCGTCGTCGGAGAGGTAGCAGGCCAGCTTCTCGACCGGGTAGTCGGCGGCGAGGATGGAGAGGATGGTGTTGGCGGTGACGAGCGGCGGCTCCTTTTCCGGGTCGGCGGTGGAGACGAAGACGTCGATGCCGGGCAGGTCGGAGTGGCCCTTGGGGTTGCGCGCGGTGGGCAGCTCGAAGCGCTCGGCGAGGACGTCCAGGTCGGCGGCCCGGTGGATGGGGCAGAGCTTGGGGAGGCTGTCGAGAAGCCAGGAGAAGGCGAACCAGACCTCGCACGTCACCGAGAGCGCCCACAGCCACACCGCTTCTGGGTTCGAGTGCCGAATGCGCCATGTCAGGAAGAACCCCAGCGCCACCAGACGGATTGCGATCAGCAGCCTGCACCGGAACAGAGCAACGAGCAGAGTAAGGCCAGTCTCAATGGCAGTGTCATTGCACGGTTTACAAAATTAACACGTCATCAAAAGTGAAATGAAACCCTCCGTGAAACTACCTCCACAATGCTGGCCTTTCACTCTGATGTTTCCAATGCTAAGCAAAGCTGTTAATTACTGCAGGTTGCTGGGATCATTTGCACCGATGAATCATGTAGCTAAATACTTGAATTTCACACATCCATCGCCTCTAGCAGCAGGCAATACTTGAATTTCACACACACACATTCACATACACATTCAGATTCAGAGAAGGCCTCCATGTGCATATATATACGCACGCACCAGTTTTCACATGCTGCGTGACACATACACATTCAGTTTTCACACACGCACATTCACATTCAGTTTTCACACGAAGTAGAAATTGACATGATATCAAGGTAGATAACTTCAGATAACAAGCAAGATAGCACCAGGTTTCTGACATGGACCATAGTCACAGGTTCAGTACTTAACCAACGATTAGCTAAAGATAATTGAGATTAACTAAAGATAGAAAGCACTGCATATGATTGTTCAGCTCATACGATTGTTCAGTTCATACAAGTTCATACTACTGTTCAAAAGATAGAAAACACTGCATATTACATAGTGAAGTTCAGATAACTGGAACATCAGGATAACTTGGACGATATAGATTCTTTAATCCTGAACTAAGCTAGATAACTGGAGGTAAATTGACGATGACCATTCAACCAACAATGCCGAGATGCACCCATAGGATTCATAAAGATTCTTTCACCCTGCAAAAATAAAGATAGTGGTGCACAGATCAATCACCTACAGTAAAATTCTCACAACTATCACACACATAACAGCCGAACATGATTGCACTAACCAGGTACCAGCCTAATCAAAGCAAGACTAACTAGCTACCAGCCTAATCAGCGTCGGTACTTTCTGATCGCCACGAGTGAACTGACCCTTCCATGCATTTGGGCATCTTTCCCATTGCCAATGCATGCAATCAATGCTACCGAACATACCGGGAAAACCTCGTCTCTCACCAAGTTTCAGTAGACGTTCAGTATCTTCCATAGTGGGGCGCCTCAAATATCTTTCACCAAACACATCTCTAACACCTTTGACAAAATTCTTCATCGCCTCCATTGCAGTAGTCTCCCCAATCTTCAAGTATTCATCTAGTTCATCTGCAGCACTACCAGTAGCCAATTGGCGAATAGCTGCAGTACACTTTTGTAGTGGACTCAGCCCTTGCCGATTAACAGCATCCACCCTTTGTGTAAAATAATTAGACCATTGGCCTAAGGCCTCAACAATGCGTAGGAAAAGTGGCCTAGACATACGAAATCTTCGGCGAAAAATATTTGAAGGATAAAGAGGATTTTCTGAGAAATAATCAGTCACTAGTTTCTGATGTGCTTCCTCTCGTGGCCGTTTGATGTGTTTCCTCGGATGGGATCGATGGTCATAAGCCTCTTTCTGAAGACCTTCGATGGTTGATTGTATAACAAGCGTGGCTTCATTGAGAACATCATCTATGATCTGACCCTCAGCCAAGAACTCATCCAACGAGTACAGAGAATTCTGATCAGTGTACTCATTTTCCTCAGACATCTTTCAAGAAGATAGAAAGATAGTGGATAAAAGAGGTGAGGAAAAGAGAAGGCCTTCGTGGGAGCAAAAGAGAGAAGGCCTTCATGTGCATATATAGGTTCACAAATAGGGCTGCATTCACATATAGGGCTGCATATAGGGCTGCATTCACACATAGTACTGCAGCATTCACACATAGTACTGCATATAGGGTTGCATTCACATATAGGGCTGCATTCACACATATAGGGCTGCATTCATATATAGGACTACATATAGGGCTGCATTCACACATAGTACTGCAGCATTCACACATAGTACTGCATATAGGGTTGCATTCACATATAGGGATGCATTCACACATATAGATGCATTAACATATTGGCAGATAGCACACTTTCCATAAATAAAAGCCACGAAGAGAATATCGACATCTAAGTTATGTGTTTCAACTTTGTACGACATCTACGAAATAGTACTTAAAAAACAAAGCTGTGTAATGCACAGGAATTAAGGCGAGAACTAACCTTACTCGAAGCAAACAACTTCTCTTCAAGCTTATGTAATGTCTTCTCTCGATTGGCCTTTTGATCTGCAGTCATGTGACTTGTATCTTGATTGAGCAGGGAATTGTAGACCTCAAACATCTTTGCTTCCTTTTGCTCCTTTTTGCCTTCAAATTTGCATTTGCTATCTCGAATTTGTGCGTCAAGAACCTTCTCGACTCCACCTTTCGATCTTCTTTTGCACCTTAATAATTTTATCAATATTGTCCCCAAGGATGACAATTCCATCCATAACATTATCCTTCTTGCGCTTTCCACTACGCTCGTGCTTTTCTTCGCTTCTCTACCGATGGGACGGCATTGTCCTTACGGAACATCAACTATCTCGGTCTTCTCTTTCTCTGTTTCAAACCGAGCACACCATTTGGGCTCCTCTTTTAATACCTTCCACCAATGCACCAACGAAAAGCGCTTTCCAAATCTGGTTTCATACATTTTACGTGCCTCTTCCTCTAGCATGTCATCCGAGTATCCGCTTGTATACATTTGAGTTACCTTAGTCAAGCGTCATTGAAATCGGTGATTGATGACTTGAGGCGTGACCGATGAACCTTCAATTGGTTTATTTCCTTCTTCGCTTCCCATTCCTTTCTTGTTAAAGTTATCAGTCACTTCCTTCCAAAATGTTTCAAATTTCTTGTCATTACCCTTAACTGGATCTTTACTAGCATTCAACCAAGCTTTGGCCTACAAAATGCAAATAAAAAAATATATGAACAAATCGGTGACTTGTACCAAACACTACCCTACAAAGGAAAATAAACAAAACTAATAAGTGATTACCGGTCTTTCTTCCTCGTCATGAGTCCAATATCTTTTATTCATTTGTCCTATTTGCCTCACTATTATCCCCTTCATCATTGTCCACAATCACTTTGTCTCCTTTGCTAAAGTGCCTTGTTTCTGACTTGGGATGTTCTTGTTGCATGGACACTTGGTGGTGGTGGGGATATTGGGTTCAAGCTCATGGTCCGACCAACAAAATGAAAATTTTCTCCTATGTGTGGGTGTGGCGTGGCGAGGTCGTTGAAGAAAATTCATAAAACCACGGTGGATAAACAGCCACGACATTTTTACAACAGATAAAACAACATTATTTCAACTACGGTTCTATTTATTTGATGAAACAATATCCATAGGTGTCTCAATTGAGTCTACTGGTGGATGCTCATTCACTCCACAGGTCTCACAGGTGTTGATCACGGATAACTAACATTATTCCAACTACAGTTCTACTCATCATGTCTCAATAATAATTGGTAGATTGAGATGCATGACTAGTGATAAACTTAATGCCTTCATTGTAAATAGAGTGTTGATATCAATTTCAGCAATATAATTGTTTTAGCAATATAAAATTATGACTTCATTCATTACTAGAGAAATTTAAGCATCTCAGACCATCATCAAATACTAGTAATCTACAATTCACTCAAATGAATTTTTTTATATACTCAAGTGAATATTTTTATCTACATTATTGCTCTAGTAAGCTATTTGTATTCACTAGCACACACAATACACATCCATTTGTAATTTATTCAAAAACTAGCAGATCGATTTATACACACACAAATGCTTTCATAGATTGAAATGAAAACATACCATAAATTTTGTGCTTGACGATTTCCTTCTTGATTGAAAATTTGAGGGCATGCCCCCAATCCCCCCTTCTGTTGGAATCGGCAGGCACCGCTCCTTGAGAGAAGGGATGAAGTCGGCATTGCAGGGGCGCAGGGAAGAGTTCGCGGAGAGAGGGACGAAGGCGTGGGGCGGCGGAGCAGAGGGGGTGGTGGCGCAGAGAGGGAATCAGCGGCGAAGACGGCCATTTGGGGGCGCCGACGAAGTAGAGAACGCCGTCTTCATTCCAAGGCGGCTGCCGCTGCGCCCTTTCCCTCCTTTGCTGCGCTGCCCAGAGCTCCGGCGTCCGCCATCCATGGCTCTAGATAGGCACCAGCGGTGGCGGCGGCAGGAGCGGCGAAGATGATGCGCAAGGGGACGGAGAAAAGGCAGCGCGCGGAAGAAGAAAGCGCGGGAGATGGGGAGGACCGGCGCGCGGGAGATGGGGAGGACCGGCGCGCGGGAGATTGGGAGGACTGGCGCGCGGGAGATGGAGAGGAATGGCGCGGAGACGAGGAATTCCGGCGCCGACTGGAGCACGGGATCCATGGAATGAAATTTTTCCCCTCAATGGTGGTGTCGTCCGGTTACCGAGCTCTAGGTAACTGCGCTGGGTCGTTTCGTGGCCACGACACGAACTCGTTCTCTCTCCTCCGGTTTCATTCACAGATTCTATTTTTTTTCTGACGTGGCATCTAATTAATGTGCATGACACCCCTGTGAAATCTGCATTGAGACTGGCCTAATTCCCGGCCCGATCCTTGGGGGGAAACCTTCTCCGAAATTCCACGGGTTCATGGGAGCGCGAGGAGTGGGTGCAAGCTCCGGCCTTTCCTGGGCGGATCTGAGCTGAGCTTTGAGGGATCCGTCGATCGAGCTGGTCTGGATCGGTAGTTTCGTTGGTTAGTGGGGGAGTCGATTTGATTTCGGGAAGCGATGTCGCGGGCGGCTGTCGCTGCCGGGCGGGTCGCAGGTCACGGTGACGGTGTCGCCGACGAGGAACAAGGCGGAGAGCCCCGGGGACGGGGTGATCAAGAGGAGCGGCGGCGGATCGGGCTCACCAGCCCGGTGCCGAGGCACTCGCCGGGGCGCGGGTCGCCCACCGTCGCCACGCAGCAGCTTCGCCTGCGCGCCGAGCGGCGGCGGCGGGGCAGCCGCTTACTTGCCGCTTCACGGCGCGTGCCGGCGTGGATGACAGCGCCGACGAAGTTCGTGCACTACACCGTGCACATCCCGCCCACGCCGGAGCGGACGGTGGCGGCGTCCGCTGAGTCCATGGATGCGCCGGCGCCCAATGCGTACGAGGACGGCGGCTCGGCGGAGGTGCGGCCGCCGCAGAGGAGCTATATCTCCGGGACCATCTTCACGGGCGGGATCAACCAGGCCACGCGCGGCCACGTGCTCAACACCTCCGCCGCCAGCAGCGCCGCCGCCACGGCCGCGGCCTCCGCCAACATGTCGTGCAAGATGCGCGGCTGCGAAATGCCTGCGTTCCTGGCCTCCGGCGACGGCGACGGCGGGCCGTGCGACTGCGGCTTCATGATCTGTGGCGAGTGCTACGCGGACTGCGTCGCGGCTGCGGGGAACTGCCCCGGGTGCAAGGAGCCCTACTCTGCGGGGAGCGACACCGACGATGACGACGACGGCGAGGACGACGAGGCCGTCTCCTCGTCCGAGGAGCGGGACCAGCTGCCGCTCACCTCCATGGCGAAGCGCTTCTCCATCATGCATTCCATGAAGATTCCCAGCAACAACGGTGGCGGCGGCAAGCCGGCCGATTTCGACCACGCGCGCTGGCTCTTCGAGACCAAGGGCACCTACGGCTACGGCAACGCGCTCTGGCCCAAGGACGGGCACGGCGGCGGTGGCGGCGCCGGCTTCGCTGGGTTCGAGGAGCCGCCGAACTTCGGCTCCCGCTGCCGCCGGCCGCTCACCAGGAAGACCAGCGTCTCTCAGGCCATCCTCAGTCCTTACAGGTACCAAATCATTGGCAAGAGATTTAAAAAATCTCTCTGAAATCCTCAGTCCTTACAGGTACCAGCTTAGGCCAGTCTCAATGCAGATTTCACAGGGGTGTCATGCACATTAATTAGATGCCACGTCAGAAAAAAAATAGAATCTGTGAATGAAACCGGAGGAGAGAGAACGAGTTCGTGTCGTGGCCACGAAACGACCCAGCGCAGTTACCTAGAGCTCGGTAACCGGACGACACCACCATTGAGGGGAAAAATTTCATTCCATGGATCCCGTGCTCCAGTCGGCGCCGGAATTCCTCGTCTCCGCGCCATTCCTCTCCATCTCCCGCGCGCCAGTCCTCCCAATCTCCCGCGCGCCGGTCCTCCCCATCTCCCGCGCGCCGGTCCTCCCCATCTCCCGCGCTTTCTTCTTCCGCGCGCTGCCTTTTCTCCGTCCCCGTGCGCATCATCTTCGCCGCTCCTGCCGCCGCCACCGCTGGTGCCTATCTAGAGCCATGGATGGCGGACGCCGGAGCTCTGGGCAGCGCAGCAAAGGAGGGAAAGGGCGCAGCGGCAGCCGCCTTGGAATGAAGACGGCGTTCTCTACTTCGTCGGCGCCCCCTCCAGCTTCGTCTTCGCCGCTGATTCCCCTCTCTGCGCCACCGCCCCCTACAGCTCCGCCGCCCCCTACAGCCTTCGGCCCCTCTCTCGGCGAACTCTTCCCCCTCACCACATGCCGACTTCATCCCTTCTCTCAGGAAGGAGCGGTGGTCTTGCCGATTCCAACAGAAGGGGGGGATTGGGGCCATGCCTCAAATTTTCAATCAAGAAGGAAATCGTCAAGCACAAAATTTATGGTATGTTTTCATTTCAATCTATGAAAGCATTTGTGTGTGTATAAATCGATCTCGCTAGTTTTTTGAATAAATTACAAATGGATGTGTATGTGTGTGCTAGTGAATACAGTTAGCTTACTAGAGCAGTAATGTAGATAAAAATATTCACTTGAGTATATAAAAAATTCATTTGAGTGAATTGTAGATTACTAGTATTTGATGATGGTCTGAGATGCTTAAATTTCTCTAGTAATGAATGAAGTCATAATTTTATATTGCTAAAACAATTATATTGCTGAAATTGATATCAACACTCTATTTACAGTAAGGCATTAAGTTTATCAGCTAGTCATGCATCTCAATCTACCAATTATTATTGAGACATGATGAGTAGAACTGTAGTTGGAATAATGTTAGTTATCTGCATCAACACCTGTAGACCTGTGAGTGAATGAGCATCCACCTGTAGACTCAATTGAGACACCTATGGATATTGTTTCATCAAATAAATAGAACTGTAGTTGAAATAATGTTGTTTTATCTGTTGTAAAAATGTCAGGGCTGTTTATCCACCAGGTGGTTTTATGAATTTTCTTCAACGACCTCAGTTTACGCCACACCCACACATAGGAGAAAATTTTCATTTTGTTGGTCAGACCATGAGCTTGAACCCAATATCCCCACCACCACCAAGTGTCCATGCAACAGTAACATCCCAAGCTGTGAAACAAGGCACTTTAGCAAAGGAGACAGTGATTGTGGACAATGATGAAGGGGATAATAGTGAGGCAAATAGGACAGTGAATAAAAGATATTGGACTCATGACGAGGAAGAAAGACTGGTAATCACTTATTAGTTTTGTTTATTTTCCTTTGTAGGGTAGTGTTTGGTACAAGTCACTGATTTGTTCATATATTTTTTTTATTTGCATTTTGTAGGCCAGTGCTTGGTTGAATGCTAGTAAAGATCCAGTTAAGGGTAATGACAAGAAATTTGAAACATTTTGGAAGGAAGTGACTGATAACTTTAACAAGAAAGGGAATGGGAAGCGAAGAAGGGAAATAAACCAATTGAAGGTTCACTGGTCACGCCTCAAGTCATCAATCACTGATTTCAATGACGCTTGGACTAAGGTAACTCAAATGTATACAAGCGGATACTCGGATGACATGCTAGAGGAAGAGGCACAGAAAATGTATGAAACCAGATTTGGAAAGCGCTTTTCGTTGGTGCATTGGTGGAAGGTATTAAAAGAGGAGCCCAAATGGTGTGCTCAGTTTCAGGAAACAGAGAAAGAGAAGACTGAGATAGTTGATGTTCCAGAAGGACAATGCCGTCCCATCGGTAGAGAAGCAGCAAAGGCTGAGCGTAGTGGAAAGCGCAAGAAGGATAATGTTATGGATGGAATTGTCATCCTTGGGGACAATATTGATAAAATTATTAAGGTGCAGCAAGATCGAAAGGTGGAGTGCGAGAAGGTTACTGACGCACAAATTCAGATAGCAAATGCAAATTTGAAGGCAGCAAAGGAGCAAAAGGAAGCAAAGATGTTTGAGGTCTACAATTCCCTGCTCAATCAAGATACAAGTCACATGACTGCAGATCAAAAGGCCAATCGAGAGAAGACATTACATAAGCTTGAAGAGAAGTTGTTTGCTGAGTAAGGTTAGTTCTCAGTCTTAATTCCCAGGCATTACACAGTTTGTTTTTTTAAGTACTATTTCGTAGATGTCAGCAAAGTTGAAACACATAACTTAGATGTCAGTATTCTCTTCGTAGGCTTTTATTTATGGAAAGTGTGCTATCTGCCAATATGTTAATGCATCTATATGTGTGAATGCATCCCTATATGTGAATGCAACCCTATATGCAGTACTATGTGTGAATGCTGCAGTACTATGTGTGAATGCAGCCCTATATGTAGTCCTATATATGAATGCAGCCCTATATGTGTGAATGCAGCCCTATATGTGAATGCAACCCTATATGCAGTACTATGTGTGAATGCTGCAGTACTATGTGTGAATGCAGCCCTATATGCAGCCCTATATGTGAATGCAGCCCTATTTGTGAACCTATATATGCACATGAAGGCCTTCTCTCTTTTGCTCCCACGAAGGCCTTCTCTCTTTTCCTCACCTCTTTTATCCACTATCTTTCTATCTTCTTGAAAGATGTCTGAGGAAAATGAGTACACTGATCAGAATTCTCTGTACTCGTTGGATGAGTTCTTGGCTGAGGGTCAGATCATAGATGATGTTCTCAATGAAGCCACGCTTGTTATACAATCAACCATCGAAGGTCTTCAGAAAGAGGCTTATGACCATCGATCCCATCCGAGGAAACACATCAAACGGCCACGAGAGGAAGCACATCAGAAACTAGTGACTGATTATTTCTCAGAAAATCCTCTTTATCCTTCAAATATTTTTCGCCGAAGATTTCGTATGTCTAGGCCACTTTTCCTACGCATTGTTGAGGCCTTAGGCCAATGGTCTAATTATTTTACACAAAGGGTGGATGCTGTTAATCGGCAAGGGCTGAGTCCACTACAAAAGTGTACTGCAGCTATTCGCCAATTGGCTACTGGTAGTGCTGCAGATGAACTAGATGAATACTTGAAGATTGGGGAGACTACTGCAATGGAGGCGATGAAGAATTTTGTCAAAGGTGTTAGAGATGTGTTTGGTGAAAGATATTTGAGGCGCCCCACTATGGAAGATACTGAACGTCTACTGAAACTTGGTGAGAGACGAGGTTTTCCCGGTATGTTCGGTAGCATTGATTGCATGCATTGGCAATGGGAAAGATGCCCAAATGCATGGAAGGGTCAGTTCACTCGTGGCGATCAGAAAGTACCGACGCTGATTCTTGAGGCCGTGGCATCACATGATCTTTGGATTTGGCATGCGTTCTTTGGAGTAGCGGGTTCTAACAATGATATTAATGTTTTGAACCAATCTACTGTATTTCTCAATGAGCTAAAAGGACAAGCTCCGAGAGTACAGTACACGGTCAATGGGAATCAACACAACACTGGGTATTATCTTGCTGATGGAATATATCCAGAATGGGCAGTATTTGTTAAGTCAATACGACTCCCTATCACTGACAAGGAGAAGTTGTATACACAGGAACAAGAAGGGGCAAGAAAGGATATCGAGAGAGCCTTTGGTGTATTGCAGCGTCGATTTTGCATCTTAAAACGTCCAGCTCGTCTATATGACCGAGATGTACTCCGTGATGTTGTGCTAGCTTGCATCATACTTCACAATATGATAGTTGAAGATGAGAAGGAAGAGGACATTATTGAAGAAAATCTAGATCTAAATGTGGCTCCTAGTTCATCAACCGTTCAAGAACCGGAAAACTCTCCTGATCAATATGTTCCGTTGGAGAGAGTTTTAGAAAAAGATACTTCTATTCGAGATCGATCGGCTCATCATCGACTTAAGAATGATTTGGTGGAACATATTTGGACTAAATTTAGTGGTCGTATACATAGGACTGGAGTTTGAGGTAGAATACATGTAATTATTTTATATATCATACAGTTTTATATATATGCATGGTGCATTTGTAATTGTCTCGAATGCTCATCGTCAATTATTTTGGTTTTTCGCAGGTCCCAATCTAGTCCCAATCTGCCAAAGGACAACTTATCTCCATTGTTGTTTTGAACTAAGGTTAGTTTTGAGAATCTTGATCACTATGTTTATCTTTTTTAACCACATAGCAGTTGTATGTGTATGTGATCATAGGAATGAGCTTCAACCTGAACCTGATTAGTTGGTCAGTGAAATCATGTTAGGCTGGTAGCTAGTTAGTCTTGCTTTGATTAGGCTGGTACCTGGTTAGTGCAATCATGTTCGGCTGTTATGTGTGTGATAGTTGTGAGAATTTTACTGTAGGTGATTGATCTGTGCACCACTATCTTTATTTTTGCAGGGTGAAAGAATCTTTATGAATCCTATGGGTGCATCTCGGCATTGTTGGTTGAATGGTCATCGTCAATTTACCTCCAGTTATCTAGCTTAGTTCAGGATTAAAGAATCTATATCGTCCAAGTTATCCTGATGTTCCAGTTATCTGAACTTCACTATGTAATATGCAGTGTTTTCTATCTTTTGAACAGTAGTATGAACTTGTATGAACTGAACAATCGTATGAGCTGAACAATCATATGCAGTGCTTTCTATCTTTAGTTAATCTCAATTATCTTTAGCTAATCGTTGGTTAAGTACTGAACCTGTGACTATGGTCCATGTCAGAAACCTGGTGCTATCTTGCTTGTTATCTGAAGTTATCTACCTTGATATCATGTCAATTTCTACTTCGTGTGAAAACTGAATGTGAATGTGCGTGTGTGAAAACTGAATGTGTATGTGTCACGCAGCATGTGAAAACTGGTGCGTGCGTATATATATGCACATGGAGGCCTTCTCTGAATCTGAATGTGTATGTGAATGTGTGTGTGTGAAATTCAAGTATTGCCTGCTGCTAGAGGCGATGGATGTGTGAAATTCAAGTATTTAGCTACATGATTCATCGGTGCAAATGATCCCAGCAACCTGCAGTAATTAACAGCTTTGCTTAGCATTGGAAACATCAGAGTGAAAGGCCAGCATTGTGGAGGTAGTTTCACGGAGGGTTTCATTTCACTTTTGATGACGTGTTAATTTTGTAAACCGTGCAATGACACTGCCATTGAGACTGGCCTTATAGCGCCTCTGGAGGCTGGAGCTCGTGGGGGGATGAGTGATCAATCGATGAGCTCGCGCACCGAGGAGGAGGACGATCTGGTGGGGCGCAGGGCGTGGCAGCGCCTGTATTTATTCCGTCGGATTCTTCGCCGTCGCTTTTTGAAACGGCGAGCAGAGTTGCCGGCCGCCCCCAACGGTCGGGTCGCGCTAACGTGGCCGCGCAACGGTCGGGGGCGCGAGGCGGATCCGGCCGTCTGTGTGTCATCGGACGGTGCACGTTTGTTTGACGCGAGCGGGCAATGAGGATGGTAGCCGTTTGGGAAGAGAGGGGAGGAAGCTATTGGGGGCCACGCGACAAGAGAGAGCTTGGGTTCGGCGGCAGCCGGCATGTGCACAATTATACACAGGAGTCACCTCGTACTTGTATTCGCAGAGCAGCCGGCTGGTTTCCCGCTCACGTCACTGTTCATCAAACTAGCGAAACATTATTTTCTCTTATAAAACCAGTCAGTTTCAGCCGAGATTCTGCCAGCCGAATGGGACACCATTGGTTGTGAAAAATATTATCAGGATTAACAGTTAACTGAGACCACCAGGTGGGCCCCGTAGGATTAAGGCTAGTTTGGTGGTCTCCTCCCTAGAGTTTTCACTCTTTGATTCTCTGGAGTGGCTGTAGCATGATGCAAAACAGGTGAGAAAGTTCTAAAATAATTCTGATGGAGATTAAAAGGAGAGCAATAATTTTTAGCTATCTACTCCTAACGTAAATTGATAAGTGATCAAAATTCAGTTGTGTTTTAACCGTTTGGTAGAGCTTCATAGAATCCGCTTCGAAAAAGCTAGGAGCGGAGCTCTACTAAACAGGCCTATATAATGGACTCAAGCCTTACCTAGTTAGCTTCTACAGTGTGCTTGTGTTTGGTCTAGGAGCCAAGCCAAAATTTGGCTTGGCACACTTCTTTGTCCATCTTAGTTCATTCTGTTGGCCAAATTTTGACAAATCTATGGCCAACAAATTGATGACCTATGCCAAAATCTGACTTGGTTTGGAGGTGCTACAAACCAAATACATAGGCATATATCAACTTTTGTTGAATAGAAAGGTTCTTGCTTTCTTTTCTGCTGTTCTTTTATATATAGACGGGCCACCGCTAATTGTCATACTTTGCTAACCAAGATAGAAATTTCCCGATTTGATATTAGTACTCTACTCGTCAGTGAGTTAGGCCTTGTTTAGATTGCAAATTTTTGCAATCTGGACGCTGTAGCACGTTTCGTTTGTATTTGACAAACTTTGTTCGATCATGGACTAACTAGGCTCAAAAGATTCGTCTCGTGATTTACAACCAAACTGTGCAATTAGTTATTTTTTTTACCTACATTTAATGCTCCATACATGTATCCAAAAATTGATGTGAGAGAGAGTGAAAAAACTTAGAACTTTGAGGCAATCTAAACAATGCCTTAATAGAAAAAAGGTTCACCGCCGACTTTACTTGGTTAACTTGCATGTGCTCAACGACAATCATTTGATCCTTGCGATTGCCGAATGATTGATCCCAACCATTGATATCACGAGCAATTCAGACGGCTTTGTGCCGTTAACCCGGGTCCCTGTGATGCTTTTTTTTTAGGGACTGTGATGCATGAGTGCATTGTACAGTGTGAAAGTCAACCCCTTTTGCCCTTCCATTTGACTGACCGTGCCGTTGGAGCGTTATTTTGCCGACTCGTTTCAGCATCCAGAAAATCAAACTGTTTGGGCGCCAGCGTTTGAAATCGAACTCTCTAGGATCCATTTCCTTGTCAGGTCTGACGGAGATTCCGTACAAACGGGTTGGCGGGTTTGGTTCCGTCTAAATTTCGGTCCAAAATAGCTCCGGTAGATTTTAACATCTTACTAGCAAATAGTAGCCCAACTAACAGTTTATTTGAAACTATTTAGTTAATGAAAAGTTATT